CATGGTTGAGAACGTCTGAAAGGCTAAAAAGTTAGATGAGCCCATGAAGAGGCCTTACCAAAGAATAAAACCCCAGGTGCATTATTAAAAACTTCATGAACAATGATCTCACTCACCAAGCCACATGGTGAGCAGTTCAGGCCCTTTGAAACTGATCAGGTTGGTTTGATACTCATTTGCTAGTCTTGCCGTCAAAGTTTTTCCATACACTGGTGGGCCGTAAATAGAACACCCTTTGAGGGTGATATAATAAAATTCTCGAATTTCTTTGGGTGCTTCACATGATGTTGGACCATCTAAGTGAATGATACTCCCTCAGTCCCGAATTATAAGATACTTTTCGGTTTACGATGTTTGACCGACGATAAAGCAAATGCATCCCTGTCTGCACTCAAATTATTTTTAGAAAAAAATACATATTCAAAAACTACATTAAAACCGCTACAAAACCTGCAAAAAATAATTCAAATTTCATTAAATTTTGATATACAAAGTAAGAGATTAAGAGCGATTTGTGTTGACCAAGAGAATAGTAAAGATATACGATAGTATTATAAAATGGGACAGAGGGAGTAGTAAATAGGTTATACCATACACTAAAAATACTTTAGATTAGGGCATTACATGCTGAGAAAAACTAATAAAATAACTTTTGCATTACCCTTAGCTTGCAGCTCTGTTTTAACATTTCCAAGGGCTGTGGTGTCGCACCAGCTTACATCTAGCACTTACACAAGTACACAACCTGAGCGTTGAAATATAGAAGAAGTAACATTGTGTTCTCAAAACTATATCATTTCATCACAATATATAAGTTCATAATAAAACATAGCTATGGTTCTGCCAGATCATAATCTATTAGTATTATATTTGAGCATACTCATTACATAAGCATAGCATTATCTCCTGTAAATTAGAGAAAAGAACGATTGAGATTAACAAATGATATGTAAAGATATATATGAAGTACAACTTGGGTAGAACCGCATATTGCATGTTATCTACTATATTTATAGCAGATAGATTGATTTTATGAAGAAATCAATGTCCCAAAAAATAGGTAAAAATTAGTGAGCTTTAGCTTATCATCCTTTTTGCTGGGAAAGTGAAGATTTCAATTCTTAGAACCGGTGTGGATGGGGTCATGAAGAAGAAGGGTCTCAAAGTGAAGATTTCAATCTTAAATGAAATTGCAGGAAGTGTTTCTTGGTGCCGGTTGAATTGGAGCAGGGGTCCGGTGAGGAAGAAAACAGAAGAGGAGAGCAGACGGAGAAAGATGAAGGCGGAAAAGAGGAATATATGAAACAAATGAGAACATGGAAAAGAATGAATGGTTGAGGAGATAATGAACGCTGGAGACATCAAATTGAAAAAGAAACTAAAGAAACTGAAAAAATGGAAAAAGAAAGTAAAGAAACGGAAGAAACTGAAGCAAAAATCGGGGGGGGGGGGGGGTAAGAGAAAAGTCTGGGAGCAAAAACAGAAGCATTTAATTTAGTTTAATTACAATAATTATACGGTGCATGTAGGATTTGGTGTGAGAAGCGGGAAAAGTTTTGGGAGGATGGATTCTCCCTTTAGGTATATAGGATTTGTCAAATAAATAAAGACGATAAAGTTTATGTGTTGTTACTTTTATTAATTATATTCGTAGTAGTAGTTGTAATAAAATGAAAAACTGGATCGCAAAAAAATCAAGTAAAATTAAAATAAACGATAAGGTATAACCAAATAACCAATAACTCTACGTGACAATTCAATGAAATAACTTGATAGTACAATTATTCGTGTGTCTCATGACATTTTAATATCAAGTTAATTTATTGTCGCATAAGAGTTATTGTTATACCTTATCGTTTATTTTAACGTTAGTTTCAATTTTATACGATCCAAATTTACATTTTCTTAGAGCTATTATCATGCATATAATTAATAAAAGTTGCAACACATAAACTCTATCGCCTTTTTTATTTGGTAAAATTACACATTACATAACATTGTAAAATATAATTTTAAATAAGTTATTATTATCAAGTCTAGGTATATGCCATGCATCACACGGGTACTTCGTGTATTTTGTATTGATAATTAAAGTTATTCTCATTGCTGCGGGTTGTGGTAATTACTTTTTAGTGTTGAGATTTTAATTTGTGGGATGTATATCATCATTAGAAATAATGTTTTTTATATTTTAAAAGTTAAAGTAGTGTTTCCAAAGATGTGCTTTTGCTTAAATTACACACCAATAAATTGTACTATCAATTTATACTTATTTCATTGTCACATAGAGTTATTTTTATATACCTTATCTTTTATTTTAATAGGAATGGGTGTTTAATTTAAAAAACTATTCCTATTTTGGATTTCGTCTTGTTCTTTTATAAAAATAAAGATTATAAGAAATATTATTCATAATTAATACTATATATAATTGTTAATCGATGACTAAATTGTAGGCAAATTGCCATAAATAGGAGTAACATGTTTTAGAATTTCAAAATAGGACTACTTTGCATCATATCTTTCTTCTCAAAATAGGAGTTGTTATTGTTATGATTGAAAAATAGTGTCATTAATGGCCGGGCAGTAAATATTGTCATGTCAATGCCTAATATTGTAACTATTTTGACAGTAATAAGTCAAAAATGATAGTAAATACTCCTATTTCAAAAAAATTAAAATAGCAATCCTACTTTGAAATCTTCATAGAATCCATCATCGCGGTACTCATCTGGGAGGCCAGCATAAACGTACCTTCCAGTCGAGTATCTGTTGTTGGCCAAATCTTTGTCTTCGACGTCTCTGTTTCTCTTTCGACTTTCAGTCGGAGCAATTCGGCTATTCTCGCGCTCAATCGCGTCAGATTGTTTAATTCGGCTATTCTCGCGCTCAACCATCGTCTTCAACGTCTGAGTTCCTGCTTGATGAAAAAAACCTACGGGCGAGGGTATACGCGACTCCATAAGCATTAACGTGTAAATTGGGAAAACTATCAAATAAGCCCTCGTACTATGCCGAAAAAGTCGATTAGGCCCTCATACTTTACAAACACTCAATTAAGTCCTCGAACTATTAAAAAACGTTCAATTAAGCCCTTTCGGTCGGTAAGTAACCGGTTTCCCGGTTAAACGGCGGCGACGGCGACGGCGACGATGTGCTCGAACCCCAACAACGGCGGCTGCCGGGAAACGGGTTACATTTAACCGGGAAACCGGTTACTTACCGACCGAAAGGGCTTAATTGAACGTTTTTTAATAGTTCGAGGACTTAATTGAGTGTTTGTAAAGTACGAGGGCCTAATCGACTTTTTCGATATAGTACGGGGGCTTATTTGATAGTTTTCCCCGTGTAAATTTGGGTCAGTGGCAGACACTTGGATATAGGCTGGACATAGTTGGGTCGAACATTTGGGCTGTGATAATTATTTGAGTTGGCTGACCGAACTTTGTCCAAGACCTGCCAAAATTATACAAATCGTATTATTTCGGTTGCTTAAAACTTTGTCATAGTTTGGATTTTTCTCTTCCCAAAAAAAAGGGAAATTTTCACGCGTAAGCCTAAAAGAGTAAATAATATCAACTTTTTTACTTTATAATTTTGTTTTCATAAATATTCCAGTTAAAGTTTTCCTTTCATAAATAGATCACATGTACGATTAACAGACTTGACGCTTACGGGACGGAAAATAAGAAGAGACGGGCGAAGCAGCACCAAAAGTAGCTTCATAGTTCAAATTGCTTCTCCTGCAGAGAACAAATTTCCATGCATCAAAACAAAGCCATTATATTGCATATACTCAGTATATGTGTGCATACATGCGTCGCATCACATATTCGTTAAATGAAACATTTGCTTAAAAACTCAAAACCAACTTAGAAACATCTAATATAATGTATCTTTATTTTATATATTTTCATTTTTTTGTTTTCCCTTTCATTGAAGTATTGACAAATCTAAGTAAAACTGGCCGGTGAAGACGTACAATTTAAAATTATCAAACAAAATGTATTTTTTTAATTGTGGAATGAACAAACTTACATTACAAGATCAGCATATTGTGAATACTTACAAACTTAAAAACATGGTGAACAATTAAAAATTTTAAAATACAAAACTCGAAACTGAAAATGTGAAAACTTATACTCCCTCCGTCCCGGGGAGAAGTTCCCAATTTCCTTATTTGGATGTCCCAAAAGAAACTTCCCATTTCCCTAAATGGAAAGTTATCCTACATTAAAACAGTGTCAAACAGTGCCAAACAGTGCCAAACAGTGTCGAAACAGTGCCAAACAGTGTCGAAACAGTGCAAAACAGTAAAATTTACCCCTCAGTAACTTTATTTCCTAAAAATGTGTGAAAGTCAACCCGGGAACTTCTCCCTGGGACGGAGGGAGTAATTTTTTTGAAAATGTAGAAAATGAAGAAATGTCTAAAAATGAAAATAGTTTTAAAATAAATTTAAAAATGTGATATTTTAGTCATTTAGTATTTATCTAAAAAGTTACGATGCTTAATTGAAATTATTTTTATAACACTAAACGCATGTATGAAGTTTTTATATAAAAACATATAGAAATATAGAATACTAAACACTATTCTAGAAAATGATAAGATCAATTAAATAAAAAATCTGAAAAATCATAAAACAATTTAAAAATTTCAGGAAAATATAAAAATATTTTTTTGTTGCATATTATTTCTTCGTGTTTAATTTCTTTTTGTTGATAACTTTAATATTTTTGTTTTTTATTGTTTCTTCTTGTTTCTTTTTGTTAATATTTATGAATCCGACTTTATCATGTTATGTATACATTGTTAGATTATGTTGTAGTTGCTAAAATAAATTACAATTTTAAAAAGAGACACCACACAACAAAAAGAAACTCTATATAAGAAATAGCAACAAAATACAACAAAAAGAAACAACATGCAACAACAAGAAACAACATGCAACAAAAAGAAACAAAATAAATAAACACAATATGTACAAGTTTCCAATGATGGATACATTATATATATTCAATTTATGATCAGAATTATCATTACAATTTCATTGCCTGTGGCGTTTCTATAAGCATGAGAAAATAAAGTTTCTTAAATAGCACCATCTTTGTACCATATACTAAATTTATTTCTTCTAGCATTTGCAAACTTTTCCTCTACCAAATTGTAGTAATACCGCCGATCACAAAAACACTTCAACCATTTGATTTTTTCTATCCCAACTTCCTTTATCGCCTTCATCTTCATTGCCAATTTGCCATGCCCTTCACCGTGAGACTTGTGGTCACTCTCCCCCAATCTTGCTCTTACAATATTCTGATCTCTCTTATCAGCATCTCCATCGTCATCACAACCATTATCATATGATTCAAGCGGAAGAAGTGCATTATCAAAGGCAAGCTGAGGAGATTGAGAGAATGAGTGAGAAGGCATAACATTATCGAGTAATGGTTAGATATAACATTAAGCTATAACAACACATAAATCTGAGCATAAATGCTTAAACTATAATTTGAATATTCATCAACATTTCTAAAGTGTATTCTAACTCCCATAACTAAAGTTCAAGTTCAAGCATCACAGTTTTTAATGTGATTTTTAAAAAAATAAGAAGTATATTAAAACACATAAGTGTGGAGTAAGTGGTTCTTCGTTTCAAACCTACAATACAAAACTACGTACAAGTCATACAATATTTGATATACATGTATGTGCACATGTTTGCACCTAAACGGTTTAAGGGGGTGTTTGGAACTGATTCTGCTTCTGCTTCTTTTTTAAAAGCAGAAGCAGAATCAAAATCAGTTTTCAGAAGCTGGTACCCCAGCTTCTAAAAAAACTGATTCTGAGAGTAAATTAGAGCTCCAGAAGTGCTTCTGGAATTTCACCCAAACACTCCAGTTTCTGCTTCTGCTTTCTGAAGGAGCAGAATCAGTTTTGAAAATCAGATCCAAACACCCCCTAATTCTGCTATGGTGCTCCAATTTGTGCATTCAAGGACTACGCCTAAGTTTATTTACATGCATTACAGGAAGGTTTCCTCACAAAGGATAGGTTTTAAATGAGTCATCAGTACTAAATTAAGATTCAATTATAGTGTTATCCTATTTTAAAAAAGTATATAAATGACAGTTAAATCATCTGAAGCAATCCTTTTCAGACATATACGAACATGTAAGCCTCCCAGGATTGATTGGAACATAAAACCCTTCTTCTTCAAGGAGCAAAATCAATCTCATGAGTGCTTAGATATTTATATGGAAGCACTGCTGGAATGAATTAAAATTAGTTATGCAGAGAACAATGCATTAGCTTCTGGAAAATAATTAAGATTCTAAACATCCTTCATTGTTTCATTTTCCAAAGTCTAAAGAGGTTATTCTAATTCCTCTTTGAAAAGAAACAGAAGCAGGACAATCACAAAACTCTGCCTCAATCACAAAAATGCAGTGTCATACTACGTATAAGCTTAGAAGAAATAATGCACAATTGGAATAAAGATAAAGCAAGGCTGACTAGAAACATCCAATGGGAGACATTGCAAAATATTAATCATGGACATGAGTATTATTTCACCATAAAAGTTGCTTAAAATAAAGCTCATTGGGAGAAGTAAAAACTACAAAGGAATTGTTATTTTTAAGTAAGGGATGCTTATCATACCAGGTTTTGTAATCGTTCCATTGTAGCTATGGCTCTAGCCAGCAATTATTGCTATAGAGAAAATCTATTCCTGCCATTTTTTCAATTGCGGTCATCCACATGGTCATGGCGCCTTGCTGGGAGAGAGGCCTTTGCCCCCAATCACATGGTGACGGACATTACGGTAGACATGGCAATCGAGATACCTTCGAGGCTCTGATGAAGAGAACTAGCAGATTGTTGATTTTGTCCATGTATATCTGGTGCTGGACAATAAACATCACGACAAACTCGACGACAATCCCCAAAGCAATAGTTCAGAAGCAGAAGTTACCTATGGAAGTCAAGACCTTCAGGGACGGTCCTCAGAATTTATAGGCCCGGGGCAAAAGAGAAAAATAGGCCCCTAATTTTTTACTACTACTATAGTACTCGTATGTCGTAATAATGTAATATAAAATTTTAATTGTCAAAAATAAAATTCATTACACAAGTAAATGTTTTTATTCATTGAAGTAATGAACAACCCTGTATCATAAGTCACACAAAATATTCAAAAAAAATCGCAAAAAATAATTTCTTCAAGCATTCTTAGAAGCAAAATCATCAATAATACTATCAAGATTAACCTTATTTAACATGCCTGCAATCCAACACTTGCAATATGTAATCCCTGCAAAAAGCAAAACAATGAAAAAACATTCATCAAACACATGAAGTTTGTAACTTGTAAGTTATAAATCATAATAGAGTAATAGGAATCAATTGAAAAATAGGCCTCCACGACTCAATTGAATGAATTTATAACAGCCATAACTAAATACACTTCTAAAGTTCTAATTAAAAGTATGGATTCTATCAAATAATTAAAGAATAACCAAATCAAATTATATAATTAGAAAAAATAATTAGACGGCAGTACTCATCCAGTGGTCCTCATCTGTTACTCATTGAATCTTTTGAGAGGATCAATCGTCCAGAGAGAAAAAAAGCAAAAAGCCAAAAAAACTGTGATTTGAGAATTGAGATTTGAGAACAACTAAGGCTGAGCGAAGCGTGTATTCGAGTAGAAAAGACTGAAGAGATTAATAGAGATTTTACCAGGGAAGCGGAAGAATCCCACGCTTGGGAACTAATTCCATAATTGGGAATTCAGGATTAATATTAATGTTGTCTCGGCTTCTGGTGTGGAAGGTAGATCCGTAGAGTCCAATTGTCTCTCGCTCAATCAGTCTACGGAATATTAGAGTATAATCAGTATATGACTAATTTAGTACCGTGTATTAATATATTTAATATAAATACATATATATGTACTAGAACTATATAATTTGTGGGGCCCTAATCCTGGTGGGCCCTGGGCAGCAGCCCAGGCTGCCCCTATGCCAGGACCGGCCCCGAAGACCTTATTGAATAAGATATGATTATTTTTGAAATAAAAATATAAAAGTTAGGAGATGAAAAGAAATCTGTGCGCCGACATAAATGAAATAGGACGGTCAAAAGTGGCTTGTTCGGGTAATTACCACAAAAAAAAAACTTTGTCAAAGTTTGAACGATATGAGGGAAAACTGTGTGATTGATTTGAAAAGTTTGTGTGGTTGAGTTTGTGTAAAAGAGAGAAAAATAAGTGAACAACAAATTTTTTATTTTAAAGGAAAAATGAGAAAATTAGTGTGACCACAAAAAAAGGAAACTCAACAAAATTTTAAGGGACGAATGAAATATTAATTGACTTCATAAATATGTTTCGATAAGTGTTACACAAACGCAGGTCACGCTACGCTCGCCGTGCATGCTCATTTTTAAGGGAAAGTTCCCGAAATAGACCTAAAACAGTTTAGAAATTCCAAAATAGGACTGTCATGTTTTTTATTCCCAAAATAGGATTAATCACTGTCAAGTTTGGAAAATACTTTTATGTTTGAAGTCTGGTACTGCTAAAACATGACAGTAATTAGTCATATTTTGGGAATAAAAATATGGCAGTCCTATATTGGAATTTTCAAACCTTTTTAGTCCTATTTTGGGTAACATTCTCCATTTTTAACAGGTTAATCTGGTTCTAAAGAACAGGGTCCACCAATTACAAAATAAAGTGACTAAAATTAATTCAGATCAGTAAATAAGAAAATTGCAGATCTTCCATTTTTTATTTGTCAATCCTTTTAGCGCTCATTTTCTCAATTTTTTTTTGAATGACGAATTGTGTTGCTTTAATTCAAGTATTAAGTAATTATGTATTTAGTCCTTTGTCGATCCATAAACTATTTGATGAATGGGCTCTATTGACTTTTAAATCAATGGATAAGTTTAAAGACTTTCAAATTGTCCATAGACTTTTAAATCCAGACTGTCACTGCGGTCTACCTGTCCACCTCCGTCACGGGAGTTTGCCGTCTTCGTCATAGTACTGATCTATGAAGGGTAAATCTGGTATGAGTAAACTAGACTTAATGAATAAGATGCTCAAAAAATTTCATCAAAAAATTCCAACGAGAACTGCCCCAAATGGCGAAGGCCAGACAGAGCTTTCTATATAAGGGCTTATTTGACCTTTTTATGTAAGTTCAAGGGCCTATTTTTCATATAATTTTTTCTTTATTTTATTAATAAATTATGTTTTAAATATATTTTTTCACAAATCAGCAAAATTAACCAATACAGCCACATCAGCTAGAACATCATAAATTTTAGCAGAATCAGCCGATATAAACGATTTGGGTGTTACCGAACGGGCCCTAGGTAAACATGCATGGAGTTGTAATTAAATAGTCAATAATACGTAAAACAAATTGTTTCGATAAATTTCTCAACACTACTATCAAAGAATGAAGTTTCCATTTCTATCAAAATTTTAATATTTAATATTAATATAAAAAGTACTCCCTCCGTTCCAAATCATAAGGCATTTTATGCTTGATGATATTTGACCGACGATAAAGCAAATCGATCCCTTTCAATACTCAAATTAGTTTGAGACAATAAAATTTACATATTCAGAAATTACATTAAAACCGCTACAAAGCCTACACAAAATATTTCAAATTTTATAAAATTTTGATATATAAAGTAAGAGGAGTATACTTTCCTACTTTCCTATATATTTATAAAATTTTATAAAGTAAGAGGAGTATACTTTCCTACTTTCCTACTTTCAAATTTTATACTCCTACTTTCGCTAGGAGTATGCTAGCTTGTTGGTTAAACATACTGTGCTTGGTAAACGTTACGTATTGATCGAGGGAAGTATAAATTAATTTATATTCAAGGGTTTAAATAAGTACAAGTAGTCAAATTAATATTCAAAATCTAGAAACTAAGGGGGGGGGGGGGACATTGAGTATATATAACTAGTAAAAGTATAAGAGATTATAAAAATATTATATATGTACGTATAACATTTCTTTTGAATTCTCGTTATATTCATCCCTGCATGTGAGGTGCTATAAATACGTGGTATGAGTTGAATAAAATTGATTGGAGTTAGTTGAAGACATGGGTGACTCAGTGAAATTAACTTATAGACTTTTACAACGTTCTGATTTAGAGGTTCTTAAGGAGATGCATAAAGATTTGTTTCCTGTCAGGTTAGGATCTCGATCTTATTTTGTGTTGGTTATTTCTTGACTCCATCATCTTACCCCTTATACATATAGAGTAAATTCTAATTTTGGTCCTATTAGTATTGCATCAATTCCATAATTGATTAACTTCTTTCATTTTGATCATTTTTGATGAATGACTATTATGTTATCGTTCATATATTGGTCCTTTCGTCAATGTTTTTGTGCTAAGAATCGCCAAAAACTGAGCACAAATGGTCAATAAATATTAGTCAAGTACTAAAAGTGGACATAGTGAAAGATATATACTAAATGTGGAATGACATAAAACTCAAAGGACCAAAATTTGAATTAACTCAAAGGCTAACTATGGGTTTCTTTTGTGGTAAATATACATATTGGTTATGTATTTCAGCTATGAAGACGCATTTTTTGAGAAATTTGTAAACGGAAGTGACGATGTATCTAGGCTATCTTGGGGCAAGTGTTACGATCAAGTTATAGATAAAGTTAATGACGGAGGCGAGGAATATTCACTATTTTGGGGTTGGGGAGCAGTTGATGGCAATAAACTTATTGGTTTTGCTACTTTCAAAATTGTGATGGCTAAAGATTGGAAGGTGGGTTTCCTTGATGTTTGGCCCAAAAAACTAACCCTCAATTTTGATTTAAAAATGTTTTCACTTGAACTAGTTCATGTCCAGATCATAGCATATTATCTTAGAAATAAATAGATCAGATCTTATCAAATTTGGAACATAAAAGTAAAAGACCAACGTAATTTTTCTGAAGGGTGAAGAGATGAACACAAGTCGGGTGGGGTTCGATTATATTACGATATGGTTAGTTCAGGTGTCCAAACTTGAGAATCTTAATCACAACATTGTTAACGGTTTCGGATTGAGTTCATATACATATGCCAATTCATGTTTGTTTTGAACTCAGATCATATGGACAATTCTAAATGTTTTTAGAGTTTAATAGCCCGTTTGGTGACCCTGTTTTTTCGGCTTATCAACTAACTTTTTCACCGAATACGTAACTTTTGATTTCACGCGCTAATTGTGTAATAATAAGAAAAAGTAAGACTGAAGTTACTTTTCTAGCTGTATTGACTGAAATTACTGTAAAGGACCATTTTAGGTATTTTTGATATAATATTTTCTATATTTTAATAATCAATAATATTTTAAATATAATTTATTGATAAATCAGCAGAATCAGCTAATAAATCAGTCGATTCAGCCAAATTCAGTGCATGTTATCAAATATCAAATAAGCTCTAAGCTTTTAAGAGAAAAAAATACAATCAAGGTTATATATAATAACCCATTGATATTGCCCATGTGTAAACGTTAAACATACTAGAATCAGATAATCTGTACATCATTTCTAATTCGTTATCAGAATTCTACTTAGGTTATGGACTACAAATAGCAGAGTAGATTCCGTCCAGAACTATGATGTTAATCGGAAAACCCTACATGTTAAATACTTAGTAAATTATTAGTTCGAAATATAATAGAAACACCATCCCAATTAAAAAGAAGTTCAATTCATTTCTACTCATTCTATCGTTGGGTAGCACTATATTTTAATACGCGATTCTATGTAGCGGCCCATTATTATATTTAAATTAAAACAACAATTTTGCAATGGATTTGTCATGAATTGATACAAATATACAAATATTTGTCACAACACCATACTAAATTTTTCACAACACGATTTTGGTAAGGAACCCCAAATTCATGCCAAAATCCGTGCAAAGTCATTTTTCATGAGAAAAGTAGTGCAAACCTTCAGATGAAAGAAAAGAGGTTGATGCACCGAAATTTTACTGGCTTCGCCAAAGTCCTACCTAGGAAAAACCTTCCTCTTCTTTCAGTTCTAGTCGCATCTTCGGACCTAACTTGTAGAAGTGGGCATAAGAGCTCTATCAACTAGCTCGTTCTGGTCTAGTTGCGCCATAAGAGAAGGTCGGAGCTCTTCATTCCAACTAAAGGAAATTAAGGAATTCAACAACTAGGGGCATCCCCATTGTTAGCTTCCCTTAGATCCTCATACCATACTGAGCTGCCTAGCTCCAAGACTTGTAGTGTTTAGCCTATTACTAACCTTTCCTAGCCTATGGGAAATACAAGGGGGAATCCTCACAGTAAGATAGCTATGAGTGAAAGAAGAAAGATAGTTTAGAGTTGACCGTAGCTACTTCTCCCCCCGGCAAGACTTTGAAAGTCTCTTTTAATTACAACACTTCTCTTTTATTTCTCAATTAGAAAAAGAGAGAATTCCCTAAATAGGAGTAAAAAAGTTTTGAAATTCCAAAATAGGAGTATCATGTTTTTATTCCCTAAATAGGAGTAAATTTCTGCCAAGTTTGGAAATTACAAGGCTTTAAACATGGCATTTTTTTCCAAACTTGGCAGATTACTCCTATTTAGGGAATAAAAAACATGATACTCCTATTTTGGAATTTCAAAACGTTTTTACTCCTATTTAGGGTAATTTCTGTTAGAAAAAACAATAAAAAATTCAGATTTCGAAAACTTATGACAAGATGAATACAATTATTTAACATGTTGCAATTATTTAAGCATGTGGATTGCATTATTTATACTACTTTATAATTAGGGAAAATTTAAATTTAAACTCAATTTTGTACTCCGTATTATAAACTGAAATGACGACTTTATTTTAGGATAATGCGTACTGTAAAATTGCCACAAAGTAGTTCACTATAATGCAAATATGCAATGATGGTGAGGACACTTCATTGGAATTCCAATAGTTGAGTCAAAGTTACTCTATGTAGACAATAATTTAGATAAAGTGGTATTGTTTTGGTTTTGGCTTAAAATGATCATACAATTATCTTTCTAATCACAACAATGTTTCTATTAAACATAAGCGATTCAACTAGATAAAAAGCGATGACACTCGCATATTACCTCATTAAGAGCCCATTTGGTAGCACGAAAAGCGGTTGATTTGGCTGATTCAGCTGAAATTTATGAAATTCTAGCTGAAGTAGCTGCATTGACTGATTCTGCTGATTTAAGAAAAAATTATTTTTAAAATATATTATATTAATAAGAGTTAATGACTCAAATAGGACTAATTGCAAAGTTAATTGCACATATAGGACTGCTTACGGAAGTGGAGTTTCATAGGACTAAATTAAGCATAGATGGACAAAAATAACCCTGCTTTATTTATTTTTAATTTAAAAAAAAAAGAAAAATAGAAAAACAGTTGAAACTGTAAGCAGTCAAGTGCCGGCAGTATCGTCAAATCCAGAGTCGCCCCCGCTGCCCTGATCGGTGCTGACTACCGCCGCACTCGCCGGAACCGTCAGCCCATGTCCTTGCCGGCGCCGCCTATCGCCGCCCTCGCCGGCACTATTGCGTCTCTGCTGGTGCATCATCGCCATTCATCACCGCCCAACCGGCGTCACCATCGGTCTCTGCCGCTGCCATCATTGATTCCGCAATTGTGTTGAATCCGGGGCCACCACTTCACCTCCGAGCACTGTCGCCGCCGTCACACCCCACTGCCAAAAATATGCCATAAAATTGGAAGATTTGACCTTGAAGATTACCTTCAAATATGTTTTAAACAAATTTTCAAATCTGCCATAATGATGGCAGATTTATATTGACCGATTTACACAAAACTGCCATAATCTTGGCGAAACAAAATTTCTGAAAAACCAAAATTTTAACACGAATGCATCTCAATAACAAACAAGAAGTGAATGACAAAAAATAAAAATAAAAAACCGATTTGACAAAGAGTGTTTTGCCACATTATGATTCTCAGATTACATTCTGCCATAAACTTGGCAAAATTGTATACCATCATCCAAAAAAACTGCCATAAATATGGCATAATCGTATGCTATCATCCCAAAATCTGGAAAGTGGATTTTTTCAAAAAATTAATAAATCAGGAAATGGAAATTTGAAAAACGAAGCGAATGACAAAAAAGTAGAAAAACCTACTTATACAAAAGCATTTCTTCCATAAATTGATTGTAAATGTACACATCTCTGCCATAAACTTGGCCAAATCTAAAGCAATCATCCAAAAATATATGAAAATCAATTTTTTAAACTCTGAAATTGAAAACCATAAAATAGAAATAGAAGTGTGAAAAACTGGAAAAATCAATTCAAAATTCAGAAAAATGGAGGAAAATCGAAAAGAAGAAGAAGAGGAGGAGGAGGAGAAAGAAGGAGAGAAGAGGGATAGAGAAGAACCTTAGTTGCAGCGGCAAACGGAGAAATCGACGGCGTCGATCGATCTTGTGCGCAGGACGGAGTCGACGGCGGCGGCGATGACTAAGGTGAAGTCGGTCGATGATGCGCAATGAAGGAAGAGATATAGATATGTAGGCAAGATAGAATGGAGAATAGGTTTTGGGGAAGAGAGATAAGCCTAAAAGGGATAAGGGGTAATGATGGAACGAAAAATACAGATGTTTTGAAATAGGAGTAAAATAGTCCTATTTAGGAAAAAAATCATACATGGTCCTATTTGAGAATTTCTCCCTTCTTTTAGTCCTATATGGGGCAATTACTATATTAATAAAACAAAGAAAATATTATATGCAAAAATGGCTAAAATGATCAACTACAGTAAATTCAGCCAAGACAGCCAGAAAAGTAACTTCAACCTTACTTTTTCTGCTTATTAGACAATTCAGCGCACGAAAGCAAAAATTACGTGTTTGATGAAAAAGTTGTCTGATAAACCTAAAAAACGGAAAAACATTTTTGCCAAATGGCCTCGTAGTAGTACTATTTTTCAAAACCGGAAGCGAAGGCCCTTGCTCCCATATATGCCTCTCTAGGTCCTCCACTTTATAAGACCTTTGATAAAATAGATCAGATTAAATCGGATAATATCAAATTAAATAAAACTAGAACACATTGAATTGAAAACATCATATATGTAACACTGCTAGTCCCGATCATTACAAAATGTGATTTCTTTTATTTTATTGTTGGATATCAAATTTAGAGTTTGTTTGGTTTCCCTTTTTTGGCTTATTAGCCTTACCAGTTAACTTTGGCTTATTTTGATTGTGTAACAATCAAAATAAGTAAGGTTAAGTTGGACTTACTTTTCTGATAGAATTGACTGAAGTTACTATAGATGGTCATTTTAGTTATTTTTCATATAATTTTTTTTATATCTTATTAATATTAGTAATATATTTTAAATATCATTTTTCACAAATCAGCAGAATGAGCCAATGCAGGCACTCAAGTCAGAACTTCATAAATTTTAGCATAATCAACCTATTCAACTAATTTTAATATTACCAAATGGGCTCGAATTGTATTACCGACTTATGAATTGATAGTTGATATTATTTAAATACTTTTTTCGTGAATAAAACGTGTGGATCATATGGAGGCTAGCTTTCATATATGTAGTATGTAAGTCTTTCTAATGAAGCAAGCTTCTCACTAGCTACTTTCACATAGTACCGACTTGTCGCAAAATCTTTTTAATGTGTTTTTGTCACTTTCAATCCTCCGATCCCATCTTTAATTTGTGTCATCAGTGTCACGTTTGGTCGACATTGATTTTTCACCTCTCGTCATTCGAATATTAAACACTTGCTTGATTGCAACATTTCACACTCTCATTATTGTGTCAAAATCAAAATGGAAAGATAAAAAACGTTACTTTTACATTATTTGTTGTTAGTTTCATTATTTGTAGGCTCTGTGATATTGTATACAGGAGGCCGATTTGATGCCAGCGAAAAAGTTTGACCCGTCAAAACCAGACCAGACTCTACTTTATATCCTTACTGTAGGAGTCTCTGAGGATGTTATATATAGGCGTCATGGAATCGGTGAGGTTTTACTTAATTATTTGTTCACAAATTATACACTTTCTCCGTCCCAAATTGATTTGTCAAAGTCAATATTTTTTTGTCAATCAATGCTAAAGTTAAATCCTCTCCGTTAATATTAATTCAATTTTGATAGTTAATTTTTTTACATATGTAGAAACTATATTAAAAGATGATAAATGTTATATTGAAAACATTGACTTACTAATTAATGAATGTTAATTACGTTGACCGGTGTTGGAGTTTGGTTCAGGAACTTCTCTAATCCGCACGGCCATAAAAGATGCGAAAAGCAGGCCATCTTGCCAAGGAGTTTGCCTTCATGTCCTCGCTACCAATAAGGCTGCTATCGCTTTATATAAGAAATTGTCTTTCAAGCGTGTATGGACATTCCTTTTTTATTATCCTAACATCCCCAACGACGATCCTGGTGATGCATGCTTATACGTACGCTACCTGAATTCTCGTTCACCTCTGTAAGTACGTAGAGTTTACTCAATTCACATGCAAAACATTTTTAATGTGTTTTTGTCACTTTCAATCCTCCCATCCCATCTTTGTGTCATTCGAATATTATTAAACACTTGCTTGACTGCAACATTTTGCACTCTCATTATTGTGTCAAAATCAAAATGGAAAGATCAAAAGTGTTATTTTTATATTAATCGAGGCCGGACGGCGCTCCGGTCAGGAAGGGAGGGATCGGAAGATTACTCTCTCTATATATATAGGAAACTTCATGTCAGGCCGGCCTGACGGGCTGCTCCGTCCGGCCGAGCCCGTTTGGGCACCTTCCCGGCAGGGCCGTCTTTAGTTGATTTGGTCCCCTAGGAAAAAACTAAAATCACATTTTTCATATGGTATTAGTCACTAATATTTTACACCTTAATTATGTACTCTGTATATGGTAGTTGATTAAAAGTACCAACATACAGTTTTTAAGAAAATGGAATTTTTGCTTTTGACTTTCCCAACATACCCCTACAAAAGTAGATTAAATGTGGTGGGAGAGAGAAAGTGAGTGCAGTGTAGGTAATAAAAGTAAGAGTATAAAGGTAATTTTATACTCTCGTATTAAAAACTTGACAAAAGAATAAGTGTGAACTTTATTTTGGATTCCTAAAAGGAAAGTGTGAAGTTTATTTGGGACCAAAGATAATATTTTTTTTTTGGGAAGAAGTTAATATTTTTTAAAACATTATATTTGAAGTACAAAATCACTTCTATTACAAAATTCTGAATATTTCATAGGGTATAGTTAAATTGAAAACACTGTTTTCTTTTCCTTGGTCATTTTTAAATTATACTACGTATTGACTACGGAGTATAATATAGTACTCCATCTGTCTCATTTTATAAGATACATTTACTATTCACTTGGTCACCACAAATCACTCTCAATATCTTACTTTATATATCAAAATTTTATGAAATTTGAATTATTTTTTGCAAGTTTTGTAGCGGGATTAATGTAGTTTCTAAATGTGTAATTTTTTTCCTAAGAATAATTTGAGTGCAGATAGGGATGTGTTTGTTTTATCGTCAGTCAAACATCGTAAATGGAAAAATATCTTATAATTCGGGACACGGGGAGTAAAACATACGAGTACTTATTAGGATATTACTAATACTGTACTCGGTACTAAATTTGCTTAACAATACAAAATGAGTGTACTAAGTTCTATAATACATAGTAGAATTTACTAATAAGTAAAACTATCATAATGGCCACTTGCCATTATGGAATTTCTGGAATATTAAATAATTAGTATCCATAATGGCCACTTGCCACATAGATATACCTTTTACAAATTTTGCTTTTCTTCTATTTGTGCGTAGTGGAGTTTCTTTCAGTTCTCAAAACAGAGTACCCAATACTCATTAACTATATACTTCACATATAGTAGTTATATTTTAAAAAATTGATGAACCTCACTATTTGACTGCATTTTTATGTATATTTTGACGCAGTCAACTTCAAAAATTATTTGAATGCCTTCCCGATCGAATTTTGAGCTGAAATTTGGTATGGACAAACTAGACTTGATGAGGAACATGCTAGAAACATTTCATCAAAAAATTCCTCCGGGAAATGCCCCAAATGACCATGTTCGGACGGCATTCAGCCCCCGGTCCGAAAATTTGGAGATAATTTTTCTTCATGTTCTTTGTGTTATATATATATATAATTATATATATATATATATATATATATATATATATATATATATATATATATATATATATATATATATATATATATATATATATAGAGTGCTCTTCATGTCAGGCCGGCCTGACGGGCTGCCCCGTCCGGACGAGCCCGTTTGGGCACCTTCCCGGTGGAATTTTTTGATGAAATTTTTTGAGCATGTTCCTCGTCAAGTCTAGTTTGTCCATACCAAATTTCAGCTCAAAATTCAATCGGGAAGGTCGTCAAATAATTTTTGCAAGTTAACTGGTCCAGAAAATACATATTCCGGACTAGTTAACTTGCAAAAATCATTTGACGACCTTCCCGATCGAATTTTGAGCTGAAATTTGGTATGGACAAACTAGACTTGATGAGGAACATGCTCAAAAAATTTCATCAAAAAATTCCACCGGGAAGGTGCCCAAACGGGCTCGGCCGGACGGGGCAGCCCGTCAGGCCGGCCTAACATGAAGTTTTCTATATATATATATATATATATATATATATATATATATATATATATATATATATATATATATATATATATATATATATATATAGAGTAATGATCCTGTCCGGACGTCCGGACAGGGAACCGCCGTCCGGACCGCGGCGATGGGCCGCCTTCCCGGTGGAATTTTTTGATGAAATTTTTATGGCATGTTCTCCATCAAGTCTAGTTTATCCACAAAAAAATTCAGCCAAAAACTCAATCGGGATGGTCGTCAAATGATTTTTGCAAGTTAACTGGTCCGGAATATGTATTTTCCGGACCAGTTAACTTGCAAAAATCATTTGACGACCATCCCGATTGAGTTTTTGGCTGAATTTTTTTGTGGATAAACTAGACTTGATGGAGAACATGCCATAAAAATTTCATCAAAAAATTCCACCGGGAAGGCGGCCAAACGCCGCGGTCCGGACGGCGGTTCCTGTCCGGACGTCCGGACAGGAATATTTGTGTATATATATGTATATATATATATAGAGGACTGCTCAGGTCCCTCCGGAGGGACGGGAGGTACCGTCCGAACTTTACTGTTTGGGGCGGTTCCTGGTGGAATTTTTTGATGAAATGTTTTGAGCATGTTCCTCATCAAGTCTAGTTTGTCCATACCAAATTTCAGCTCAAAATTCGACCGGGAAGGCAATCAAATAAATTCTTGAAACTTACTGCACTTTATATATGCGCAGAATGTGCAGTAAGCTTCAAGAATTTATTTGACTGCCTTCCGGGTCGAATTTTGAGCTGAAATTTGGTATGGACAAACTAGACTTGATGAGGAACATGCTCAAAAAATTTCATCAAAAAATTCCACCAGAAACCGCCCCAAACAGTAAAGTTCGGACGGTCCCTCCCGTCCCTCCGGAGGGACCTGATCTTTTCTATATATATATATATATATATATATAGAGAGAGAGAGAGAGAGAGAGAGAGAGAGAGAGAGGAATGTTCATGTCAGGCCGGCCTGACGGGCTGCCCCGTCCGGCCGAGCCCATTTGGGCACCTTCCCGGTGGAATTTTTTGATGAAATTTTTTGAGCATGTTCCTCTTCAAGTCTAGTTTGTCCATACCAAATTTCAGCTCAAAATTCGATCGCGAATGTCTTCAAATGATTTTTGCAAGTTAACTGGTCCGGAATATGTATTTTCCGGACCAGTTAACTTGCAAAAATCATTTGACGACCTTCCCGATCGAATTTTGAGCTGAAATTTGGTATGGACAAACTAGACTTGACGAGGAACATGTTCAAAAAATTTCATCAAAAAATTCCACCGGGAAGGTGCCCAAACGGGCTCGGCCGGACGGGGCAGCCCGTCAGGCCGGCCTGACATGAAGAGCACTCTCTCTCTCTCTCTCTATATATATATATAGAAAAATTTCCGGTAAGGTATACCTTACCGGAGCCGCCGTGCGGCCTCCATGTTTTGAGGGCCTTCCCGGTGGAATTTTTCGATGAAAGTTTTTGAGCATGTTCTTCACCAAGTCTAGTACATCCATATCAAATTTCAGCAAAAAATTCAATCGGGAAGATAGTCAAATGAAAAATTCCACCGGGAAAGCCCTCAAAACATGGAGGCCGCACGGCGGCTCCGGTAAGGTATACCTTACCGGAAGAGTTCCCATATATATATATATAGTAGGAAGATTAAAAGATTTTATCTACCCGCACGGGTAGCTCAGTTGGTTGAGTGGTGAGAAATTTGGATCAATGGACCAATGTTCGAATCCCCGCCGCGACCGGGTGGAAGTTACAAAACCTGAAATAAGGCTGGACCTCTGGCGTGCACGGGTGTATGGCCTACCACCACTTTGCTGACTGAGTCACCGTGACTTACTACTTCAGATGTTTTTACTTGGACTGTAATCTGTCCCAGACCAGATCAGACCAGACCAGACCAGTTCAGACCAGACCAGACACTGATAGTTATAAAAATACAAAGGAACCAGACCAGTTCAAACCAAACCAGACCAGACCAGCAAATTACAGCCCAAGTAAAAACATCCTTCATCATCCTGTCGGGTCCAGGTGTGGGGAGTCCTGGGATGGGAGATTCCACCTTTTACATTCATTTTATCTACCTTGGAAGTGTACGTCACGTGACATCCTCATTTTTACCCGTTGGTATTGTAGGTCCTTTTGCAAGTCTCTCTGTTCATAGTGGAAAGGTGAAGAAAGACATTCGGCCTAGTGTTTCAAACTTCAAATATACTAGTATATATAGAAGCAAGCTTCTCGCTAGCTACTATATGAAGAATTCTATTAGTTTATAGCTTCCGTATACTATACGTAAACTGCTTGCTTCTAGCAATTGTAAATGAAACTCCGATCGGAATTTGCAAACATTATCTCATCTCGTTATATATGTATCTTGCATTCTCGCTCTTCGTCTTCATTAAGATCGATGGTTAGAGACTTAGAAAAGAAATCATATTTAATTTCATCATTCGTTCTATGAACAGAAGCATCTTTGTGTGATTCCAGTTAAACCGCGCGTGGGGTAGATCACAGAATTTTATGTACACTTCATGATTTTAACGTAACATTCCCTAACCTGTTAACGTAACATCTTTGTCATTCAATGTTGGGATTATTCTACTAAATTCCAATGTGTATGTGTACACATGTTTGTCCTTTGCGGAAATTTTGTCTGTCACAGATAACTGTTTTTGAATTGTCTGTGACCATGGACGGAGCCAAGTGTTGGGTCATGGTGTCAATTGACACCACTCAAATTATGTATTTATTGTATATATATGTATATATAAATTGAAAGTGTTAAAAATGACACCACTCAAACTATATATTTATTGTATATATATGTATATATAGATTGAAAGTGTTAGAAATGACACCACTATTTTTTTTAGGGAAAATGGAAACTAATAATCCAACCTTTTAGCGGTCTTCTTTAAATAATCTCACCTTTTGATTATTCATGAATAATCCAATCTATGCACCTCATCTTCATTCACTGGTCCCTAATCGGTTAATGACTTACTATTCCAAGTTATTTTCTTATCTTTGCAAAATATTATCTTTGTGAAAGATGAGATTTATGGTATAATGATTTGCAAAGATAAGAAAATAGCTTGGAATAGCAGGTCATCAACCGGTCATGGACCAGTGAATGAAGATGAGGTGCAAAGGTTGGATTATTCATGAATAACCCAAAAGTTGGATTATTGTAAGAAGACCGCTTAAAGGTTGGATTATTAGTTTCCATTTTCCCATTTTTTTTTTATATAAAGTGTCAATATGTTTAATATACTTCCCAACCTCACAAGTTTTTTGATGTATGATTGAAAAAATAATGTTGATAATATTTAATAAGAAACTAAAACAATAATATAATACTCATAATTTAAAATTCACATTATTTTTCTCTTAGGTAAGAGCAGCGATCCTGTCAGACAGGCCGAGGTCATTTGGGGCTCTTTCCGGTGGATTTTTTTTATGATTTTTTTGAGTATGTTCTTCATCAAGTCTGTTTTTTGCCAACCAAATTGCAGCTTAAAGTTTAATCGGGAAGACAGTTAACTAAATTCTTTACAAAAACTGCGTTGTTTATATATATAAAGCGTAGTTTTTGTAAAAAAAAATTATTTAACTGTTTTCCCGGTTGAAATCTTAGCAGAAAATTGGTGGGCATAAACTAGACTTAATGAAGAACTTGCTCAAAATATCTGATCAAAAAATTTTATCGGGAAGGGCCCTAAATGGCCTCAGCTTGACGGAGGTTCGCGTTAGGCCGGCCTGATATGATCTGTGCTCCTTGGGGTAATTTTTGTTGGTATATTATTTGACACCATTGACATTACATCCTGACTCCGTCATTGTCTGTGACAGACAAAATTTCTATAAAGGACAGACACGTGTACACATTTTGTGTACCTCAATCATTTTTCAAATTCCAATATCCTAAAAGCTATCTCAAACATCCTAAAAACTTCCCGGAGTTCGATTGGAATTATACTACGTAATTCAAAAAACTTCCTAAAACATCCTCCACTGCTACACTTTCTACATTATCTTAAATTAAAATAATAAAAATAAAATTATGAATTATGGAATTTTTGTTAAAAATTTAAAATGCAATTTACAATTCAACAAAGTTCTATACATTATTTGTGTACAATTTTCTCAATGTCCATAAACTTGATATTTACCAATCCAGACAAGATCAAACTCAAACGAACCAGATTAGATCAACTAAGTCATATCAGGTCAAATCAGACCACATCATAAAATTTCAGTCCAATCAAAAACATCTTTGAAGAAGTCTTCTCTAAAATTCGGAACTTCATATTAGATTAGAATAATTCCCCTGATACATTATACAAATCCTATTGTCGTGAAACAATACTAATAAGAGTAATAAAGATGTTTTAAATTGGATATAAAGTTTCTAAATTTAAACATATATCAGAAACTATTATCTTTATTATCTTTTGAAAAGTGAAAAGTAATATTTTGAGCATTCTTTGTAATACATATATATGGTGTAACTATGAGTAATAAAAAGATTTTATAAATTAACTTAAGGTACATGTAATCGAGAGAGATTTTGCCAATTCCAGTCCTCCAAATATTATATATGTAGCCATGTAGGTGTCGCTTTTGGTACTCGACTTTTAGTTTTTCCATTTTTAATTCTCGACTATTCCGCTAGAGAAACTTTTAGTTCCCGACTTCAAAGATCTCCGCATTTAATTCCCTGAGTATTGTCAAATTCACAATTTTAGTCCTTCAACTATGATTTTAGCTAACACAATAAGTGGAGGAAAAAATGTCACTATTATAATAGTTGAAAAACCAAAAGTGTCACTATTATGAAAGTCGGTGGACTAAGTATGAAAAGTTAAGAGAGCTAAAAAGTGAAAACAATTAAAGTCGAGAACCAAATTAAAAGTGTTAGTGACTTAATAGTCGAAGGACTTGAAGTGACAAAAACTCTATTCCAAATGCAAAATAAGTATTGCATTATTCAATTTCTTATTTCAATATATTTATTCAATTTCAAAATATATTAATATTAATAATTTTATCTTGAAAATAAAAATGGTGCAAACAAAATTAAGTAATAACACAATATGATGGAGTATATGGCCCAGGAACCCCCGGCCCATAGACTCCTACTTCTCCTACACAAGTCCGTTGAGCCCAGAGAACAACTCAGGCCCAAATGCAACGGCCCAAGCCCCAAAATAGCCCAAAATACATACTGGGGTGCCTTCGGCCTCCTTGGCCGAAGGCTCCAAAACTCACAGGATAGCCTTCTCTGGCATAAGAAGCTACTGGGAGAAAACGGCAAAAAACATGAGCCTTCGGCATTGTCAAGCCCTCGGCATCAGAGAAGCCTTCGGCTGAACAAAGCCTTCGGTCACACGAGGCCTTCGGCTACACAGGGGTCCTTGCCACATGGAGCCCTCGGCTACACAAGGAGCCTTCGGCTGAACTAGCTCAATCATCGAAGATTCCTTTTGGAGACAGCCAACCACCGCATTTAATACCACGTCACATCCGCCAACCGCATTCAATGCGGTAAACGTACCACTGCCGGTGCCAACCGGCTGATGTGACCCTTCGGCCGTTGGATTACTGACACGTGTACTCTCATCGCATTTATTGCTGCTATAAACAGCAGCCCATTTCTCCTTGTAAACGATCCAACTCCACACGCTGAGTTCATTTAATAAATCGACTCTCTCTCCTCCTATTTTGCTCTGACTTCTCTCTAGTTATTCCCGCAATAACCCCTCGGATAGGATACCCCCCGGGTAGACAATCCATCATTTGGTGCTCTCGTTGAGAGGTCTGAACAATCAAGTAAGAAACCCTCCCCCTCTACCAAATACAAAACACTTACCAAAAATGGGAAGAACCACTCGTGCCCAATCCAAAACCCTCGAGGAGAACCACGTAGCCCCCGGCGAAACTAACGGGGCTGAGGCCTCCAACAGGCTCTTGGTACCCGAGGGTGGAATCATTCTCGAATTGGAGCAGGCTACCGCTGACCTCCGTCAGCAGCTACAGAAGAACGCCCCCGATGCCCGCATTGGCCTTGATAATCGAAGGAGGGATCGGAGTGAGAACCAAGTTCCCCCTCCGGCCCCGGCCATCGATCTTCAGGCTGCCTTTGCGGCCTTTGTACAAAACATGGCTCTCAATTCCGGAGCCCTCGCCTCTCAGGCACCCCTTCAGCCCTGCGCTGGAGGAAACGTTATCCAACTACCACCACTCCCCCCTTTGTTCAACAATCCTCCCCCGAGAATTGGAAACGCCGAGGGGGTCATAGCACATGATACCGCCTCCCAAGAGGCTCAATCCAGGGATAAGCGCCCCGTGATGAAGGAGAAACCCCGGACCTCTGCACTCGAGAGGTTAGGGGGAGCTCCCGGGCGTCGAGGGGTCCAAAACCGCCTCGGCAAACAGGAATTTAACAGGCCCCAGGAGAGCGAAGCCTCTGCTTCAGGAGCCGGGGGCATGCCTCCACCCTGGAGCAAGGGCAAAGCTCTCCTCCATGCCAATGATGCTAGGCACAAAATCACACAGGCGCAATCCTTCCGGGCCAACTCCCAAGGGGTTGCCCCGAAGGATCCCAAGGACGAAATCATTGAAGCCCTCCTCCGTCAGCTCGAGGAGAATCGTCAGGCACCCCTGACGGCTTCCACAGCGAGGCCAGATCCAGAGTACGCTGACCTCCGAGCGCAAGTGGAGGAAATGAAGCGTAAGCTTGCCGAAGGCTCAGGCGAGCCCCTCATTCAGCTCCGCACTAGGACGCCTTTCACCCCAAGGGTGTTGGCAGCCAAAATCCCCCACAAATATCGGGGGCAACCTATCAAGCCGTATGAGGGGAAGACAGATCCCCAAGAACACTATAGCCGCTATCAAAATAGCATGATGATGATGATGGGGGTCTCAGATGAATACTTATGCCGTTGGTTCCTTTCCACCTTGGAGGGACCAGCGTATGAGTGGTTCAACCGGTTGCCCGAAGGCAGCATCGATTCTTGGCAAGAACTTGCCCACCGCTTCCTCACGCAATTTGCTGGGAGGCATCGCTCAAAGAAGCACTTCTCCCACCTTCTAAACGTGAGACAACAGAAGGAGGAAACCCTTCGGAGTTTCCTAGAACGCTGGAGGCAGGCCTCCCTCGAGGTCGAAGGCGCCGATGACAGAACCCTGATGGCCCTCTTCCACACCGTCCTCCGCAACTGTAACTTCTCCAGGAGTCTCATCACTGATCCCCCCGCGATTATACCAAGGCCCTTCAGCGGGGGGACCGATATGCTGAAGCAGAGGAAATAGAGAAGGACCGCCGCAACACGGATCCTTCTCAGAAGAATGAAGGCAGGAATCGGCCCGGAGGGCCTCCCCCTCCGGCCAACCGAGAGGCACAGTACAACGATCGCTCCCGAGGTGGCCAAGCCAGACCCGGGGGCGGTTA